TCTTTATTAATGTGTGTGTGTGTCACGCACACATGTGGGATAAGTGCAAAAAAGAAGTATACATATAATAGCACTTTTACATTCCTAATTAAAAATGTGCGTAAAAAACACGCTATTCTTTTTAATATATGCAAAAACAATCATCAATTAATATAATACCTATTTTATTCTTCCAAAAATGCCCTTAAATAAATCAAACAATTTCTCTGCACCTCCAGCAACAAGACCTCTGCAACTCTCTCTAACTCTCTCCAAACATTTCTCCCTAAATTTCCAGTTTCTTTTCTCCTTTTTTTTATCCTCTCTTATTTCTCTTCCTTTATCTCTCTATATATATATATATGCACACATCTAATCTATATATCTTTATCCATTTCTCGGAGGTGGTGACCACCATCGGTCATCACCACCACCAACTTATAAAAAACAGGTTTAAAAATGCTAATTTGTCTATATAAATATAACATAAATTTGCAAACTTAAATCCGGATCTCATTGAGAGCTTGAAGGGAAGATCCAAAATTTGACCTTGGTGGAGGAGGTTCTGATTTTGGGCTTCAATAGGGTCGGTGGGGAAGAGGTGGTTGACGATCGGGTTTGTAAATTGGCGAGGAAAGAGCACCATTGCCGGCGCAAGGACTAGACAACGATGGGATGTGTCGGGCGAGCTAGGAACGGCGGTGGCGATGCACGAAGGATCTGAACTTACCGATACCGGCGTCCAACGATGTGGCGATGTGCAGCTTTGAGGACGGCGGGGACACAATTGGCCGGCGATGAGGTGTGTTTGTCGAGTTCACTTTTTAGATAGTTCTCCATTGCTGCCACCGGTTTAGAGCACCGCCATCCTCACCGAAGACATCTCTGCTGCCATCATTTTAGTCCGCCTCATCACCAGTTTAAACCATTGTCGTCCTTCATCCCCGTTCCTCGACATAATTGGGTGGTGGTAGTGAGATGTTGAGGTTGTGATTGAAGGGTGGGGTAGAGATAGAAAGAGAGAGGAGATGGGGTTAGGTTGGGAGAGGGGGGGGGGGAGGGGGGGGGGGGGGTTGTCGGTGAGTGGACTCGAAAATACTACATCACGAACATATAAACTGGGTTTAAATGTTCTATTCTAATATTTTACTAATTATTTTTACTAATAAAATAATGGAAGAAGATAGAGAAGGTGTGTAAGGTTAGCATTATTAGGCGGAAGAGCAAGCCATACTGTGCGACGCCGAAGTAGGAGTCATCATCTTCTCCAGCACCAATAAACCCTTTTTAGTCATTTCACAAAAAAAAAAAAAATTATATATTATAAAATGTGTTGTTAAGGGTATTTTAGTCTAATTTTTATAAATAGGATCAATTTGCACAAATGCCATAGTATAGGGGTGTGTTTTTTGCACGAAAATAGTGCAATATGTACTATAAACATACTATAGGGGTGTTTTTTGCACTTGACCAATATATATATATATATATATATATATATATAGAGTGATGTATTTTTAAAATAAAAAATAATATTATAAATTAAGATATTTGCTCGAGTTCGACAAGTTGGGAAATTCCTAATTTCCCTTTGGGAAGTAGAAGTCTAGTATTGCTATACCACTTACTTTCAAATACGTTAATTCGAACATGACGTATTTAATAACTGAATTAAAAACTCTCGAACGTGATTTGTTTATTAAACGGATAGCAAAATACAATCGGTGAAGCTAGTTTAATAAAATGAGACATGTAATGATACGTACAGTTTAATAATTCATTTAACTAAATAAGTCATATAACTCATATAATAACTAATGAATAAAATATAAATATAATGAAAAGTTGAAATAATGGATGGCTAAATTCATTAAAAATGAAAATAATTTAGACAATACAAGTTCAAAAAGACCAAATACAATATTTATGTTAGATTTATTTTAAAATAATAGGAATATCCAAAACACTCAAATTGACAGTATGGACTCAAATATTCAAAACAAGTAAAATAAAATTTATTTATTTTTACTTAACAAAATGTGTTTTCACCTATTTAAGTAAACAGTATCTTTACCCGACAATTTCAAGCTAGTGTATTGAAGGGAATAGTTTTGGTAAACAAGTTTCCTCCAATTGAATAGTCTAGTTGTCATTTGACATAAAATTGTATATGTCAAATTTGACATACAATTTTTTGATATGAGAAAAAAATCTATCCTTTTTTTTAGTGCGTTCTTGGCTGTTATTTACTCTGCTGATATTATGTATTATTATTTTATTTTTGTTTGTTGTTAAATTAAAAGACAAAATATTAATAAATTTGACATATTAGATATATATAAATATGGCAAATTCCATATGCCAGTTACCAATCTTACCTCAAATGAATTCCTTTCACCTTTCAAATATATATATTTTTCACTTCATTGAAAAAAAAACTTTTGAGAGAATAAAAAGAAAGGGAAAGAACTCAAACCCATTCGGACAAGAGTGCTCTACCTTTCTTGGATATTGCAAATCCTCTGTTTTGCGATTTTCATACTGTCTCCTACAGTGAGCATTAAGTGGTCTTGATTTGGCCACGTTTTATTTCACTTAATATACACTGAGACCGTGTTTGACAATTACACAATCATTTATTAATAATATTTTACCACCATTTATAAGTATCTTCACCCTTAAAATAAGGTATGCACATAATGTAGACTAATTAATGTCACATACAAACGTAACTCAATTTACCACCATTTATAAGTACATTCACCCTCAAAAAAAGGTATGCACATAATGCATATTAAGTAATATCACATAAAAATGTAACTCAATTCAACATATCATTTATATTATAATTTGAAATTAAAGTATTTTAAAAACACTTTAACATGTTAATTTACAGAATTTAAATCAAAATTAAAATCACTTGGATTAACTTTAGACAACAAACAAAACACTTGTTATTTCCAAAAATAACAAAAAGAGCCACATTTTTTTTTTCCTTCAAAATATTAAAAAAAACATGCACTTAGTTTTAAATTATTTAACATATCTTTGAAATTTTTTTAGCAAATTTTAATATTAATTGTCACACATACTACCTTCACCATCAAAAGAAAAAATTTGGCAAAATTTAATATTAATTGTCACACCCACCACCTTCACCATTAAAAAAAGGTATTCACGTAGTACTGAAAAATTAATAGTCACACTAAAATCTAACTTAATTTAACATATTATTTATATATTTTTTAAGTTAAATTTTATCATAAAAATGGAACATTCAACAAAAAAGTCACATGTTAATTTAAAGAGGATTTTGAATGGGATTATGAGGTATTTGACTATCAACAACCTTTACTTTTTAAGTAGTGATGTTATCCTCTTACAAATGGTGATATTACTTTTTAGACTCATGTGATATTATTTTTAGACTTTTGTGATGTTATTTATAAATAGTGGTGAAATATTACTTATAAATAGTGATATAATTATCAAACACGGTCTTAATATTTATTAGGTGGAGTAAAACGTGACTAAACTAAAATCACTTAACGTTCACAACAAGAGACAGTATAGAAATCGCACAGCAGACAGCAGGGGATTACTATGTCATTTCGGCTACTCTTGTAGGTTATAATTTATGCGCATGCTTGGCACTTTGCTTCAATAGTGATCTCATCATAGTTACTGAACTCGACAGCATGTCTCTTATAGTACTTCTTTTTATTTATTTGTTTACTTTTTCTAATGTAATTAAAATATGACCTTTTCTTTGAAAGACTGTGTATTACAGAACATAGTAGTCAACTATGTTATAATACGAGTAATAAATAAAATATTAGCTATCTGCATATAACTTGTCCTTTTGTTAACTAAGTTGTTATTAAAATATACATTATCAGTTAAAGCTGCTCTGTTGTTATTAAAATATACATTATCAGTTAAAGCTGCTCTGTTTCTCTTCTTTAAGCTTAACAGTATATTATTTGTCTGTGTGTGTAACAAACACTGCACCGATGTGTACAGGGAGTAAATGAATCCAAACAAAGCTTATCAAATAATGCATCCAACAGCACTAGAGTACAGGTCCTATTTTTATTCAATTGAGTACTTTTTTCTATTTTACGGTGTCCAAAATCTGATTTTGTGAGTGATCTCTTTGAAAACTTGCATTGTTGGGGCATTGTAAAACCTGGGTACTAGTTCATTGTTTGATTTTAATATAATAATAACTGGGTTTGATATTTTCTAGTGTCGGCTGTTGACCTTCCTAGCTTCCTATATATGTGTTGTTTGGCTTGAGAATTTATTTTTTATTTTTTATTTTTTATTTTTTTTATTATTTTTTTTTGTAATGATAATGTTTGGGAATCTGATTTCCTGGAGAGCTTGAAATTTTGGGACTTTTGAGGTATCTTAAATGTTAAAATTTTCTTTTTTTTTGCTGCTTTTATTTTGGTTGAATGTGAGTTTTGAGATTATCTTAGCTTTCTTCTTTTATATTTCTAATTGTTTTATTATCTGGGAGTAATCTTGTGGTGATTTGTTGAACAATCTGCCGGTTGGAGCATTTACAAAATGTGGATAGTTGAAACTTGTTCTTTGCTGTAAATTTGTGATATTTATGTTTTTGATTAATGATTTGGCTTTTATGTTATTCCATTTTGGTTTCTAATAATGTATTCAGTAGTTCCATTATTTGATCTTAATTTTTTTTTTTTTTTTCTTAGTTGGTACTCACACACACATGTCTTCTTCGTGACTTGAACTCCTGACCTCCTTTTAGGAGGTAAGAGAGTGATACCGCTAGGCCACTGGCCTGGTCATAATTTGTAATAGATCCATTTGATCTTAATTTGTAATAGATCCATTATTAGATCTTTAATTATGCTACTTATTTTAAAAATCTGCAATCTTCGGTGATTGTCAAAATCTGCGTCTTCGGTGTTGACAATCACAAGAAGCTTTGATCTTTTGAGTTATGGTATGCCCTCACATATAACTGAGCTGGTGGGCTTGTTTTCTTAGTTGGAGGTGGAAATTTGATGGCTATCTAGATTGGTTAATGAGATAGCTGATTCTTGTCCAATAGAGTAGAGTCCACTTTCGTCCTCCTCGTGCTTTTGTCCAGTAGGGATATGATTTTTCTTTGTTTTTTTTAAAAGGACATTTCTGACATTCCTTACTTTGGTCCCTTGATATTTTTTAGAAACATCAACAATCCCTCTTCCTATTCTATCATCACCGAATGAAAAATTTAGTCAGTTTTTTTTTTTGGTTAAAGAATAAAGACAAGTTTGAATTTATAATTTTGAATGCACTAGTAGGGTTTTGTTGAATAACAAAATTTTTGACCCATATTTGGCTCATTTGTCAATTGTGTGGCTTCTGAGGAATCAAATAATCGTGTTTTGCATTTGATCTGAATACAGATTTTTTAACAATGAGTTCATTATTTTTTAGGTATAGTATCATACCTAGGTTAATCACCCGGTTTAAAATTTAATTTTTGTCATGTTTGTTTAGTTATTATAATTTTTATGTTTGTAATGGTTTTATCTCCATGATGTCCAATTGCTCCTTAAGGTATATTTTTTCATTTGTTTTTGACTTATGTTTGATTGTTTCATTTCTTTACCACAGTGCAGTAATTTGATAAGAAAATATGGAAGACACACTTGCAATTGCAAAAGATGTTACTGAAGTAAGTTTTCATCCGAGAGCTTCATTACTGATTTCAACCTTACGTCGGTGTAAAATCACTTCATTTCTTGCTTTCACAATGTACAGTTAATAGGAAATACCCCAATGGTATATCTTAACAACATTGTAGATGGTTGTGCAGCCCGTATTGCCGCCAAGTTAGAGACAATGGAACCCTGCTCCAGTGTTAAAGATAGGTATTCATCTTATTTTTCTTTTGGGATTTCTTACTTGTTAGTTTCGTAATTAGCTTTACAACTGTGGTATGTTACAATCATGAAAATGCAATCATAGAAATACAAGTATTTCAAAATGTTGCAATATGAAAATGTTGAAATACAGGTATTTCAATTTTTTTTGGAACCATGGTGTTGAGGGGTATTTCGAAATTTTGCATGATGCAAATGAACATATTTCTTTCATGTAGGATTGGGTACAGTATGATTAAAGATGCAGAAGAGAAGGGCCTGATTACTCCTGGGAAGGTTAGTTGATTCCTTTTATCGGCAATGATCTGGTAAGATTTTTACCTTTCATAACTCTAATATCAAATTATTGTAGGCTTCGGAGTTCAAATGCAAATTATATAATAATTTTACGCCACATGTTTTGGTGAGGCTAACTGTCCTACAGATTGCTTTAGAGTGATTGATGATCAAACCAAGCTGAATTATGAATAGTCTGAATTATGTACATTTTGAACTGAATATTATCTTACCATTTTTGAATATGCTAAAATAATGGTGGCTGAAGACGGTCCTCATTGAGGGTACCGGTGGTAATACCGGCATTGGTTTGGCATTCATCGCGGCTGCTAAGGGTTATAAACTTATCCTTGTTATGCCGTCTACGTTTAGTATTGAGAGAAGGATTGTTCTTCGAGCTTTTGGAGCAGAGTTGTACATCACAAATATCGCCAAGGGCATTGATGGAGTTCTTCAAAAGGCGCAAGATCTACTAGAAAAGACGCCCAATAGTTTTTTTCTTAATCAATTTGAAAATCCTGCCAATCCAAAGGTATTCTTCGCATTGATATCTTGTAATGTGTCAAGATGGTAGGAAAGTTTTCATGGGTTTGTCGTTGTGTAGATTCATTATGAAACTACTGGACCAGAGATTTGGAAGGGTTCTGAAGAGAAAGTCGATGCCCTAGTTGCAGGGATAGGGACCGGGGGGACAGTTACTGGGGCAGGGAAGTTCCTCAAGGAGAAAAACTCAAAGATAAAGGTTGGTTTGTGCGCGTGTGTTTAGTGAGAGAGATGAGATCATATTTTACTGTTTCGTATGGTGTTGAACCATTCTTTTGCTTACATGTAGGTGTATGGTGTGGAACCAGCTGAAAGTGCCATTCTAAATGGAGGAAAGCTTGGTGAGTCATGTTGCTTTTCAAGTTACACACCTTACTCACTTGATTCTTTTTGGTTGCTGTTTATTTTTTTTTTAGTTTCAATATGAATTGGTTACATAGCACTATTTTATAAGTGTGTACTTGGGAGATGCTTTCAGGTTTCACTGTACCAAAATAACTGTAACGACCCGAACCCATGGGTCTAAACCGTTAACTGGGTCTTTACCCGAACCCGTAGGTCTAAACTGTTAACTGGGTCCTTACCCGAACCCGAGGTCACCTAAGTCAATCTCGCCATATCTAGTGTCAATACATCATTATTAGGTCATAAATATGCTTCACAAAGGCTCAATGCGAATACCCAAGACTCAAGGTGAATTATACAAGAGAAAGGAGCCAACTAAACCAAGCTACAACAGTTTGGTCGGCCGAAGTGAACCCTCTGGTACCGGTTGACCGAAACAGGCATTTCAGTCGGCCGGTTGTGATTTCAACAATGAATGAGTTTACTAGAAGAACCGGTCGCTGAAACAGGCATTTCGGCCGGCCGAAATGCCTTTGCGAAGTGAGTTTCAACTACTAGAATGCTGCAAGTGTGAAAATGAAGAAGAACCTTGAATAGAACTCTGGAAACTGATCAAAATATGTTCCAAACACATTATGAAATAACATACTATATTCCATAGTCATATATATACATCAAAATAGGTTCTCAAACTCATATTACATTACACGGCCAAATTACACAAGTTAATACATTTTTGTCATGATGCTTTACAAAAGGATGGCTCTAAATACAAAATGTTTCAAACCCTCTCTTATACCTTTCGTGCTTGTGGAGGATTGTCATCCGCCACCTCCTTTCCGAGACCTGAAAAATGTTAAATAATGGGGTGAGCTAAAAGCTCAGTAAAAAGTGTTTAAGACACAGCTCGTATGACCCCGTGAATCTACGTATATAATAGAAAACAAGATAACGGGCTCATACTATACCAGGGATGTAAACTATAACCACAACATCCAATATAAGCACAAATGTCATCCAATTCACAGATACACCATGCATGCCAATCAAGTGCAATGCCATACTCATGTTGCTCCTCATTTTCGAAACATTTCCGTTTCAATTTCCAAACCGTTAGTGTAATCCAACTCAAGGCACCTCCAAGGCGTCACGAAAGAGGGAATTGGTTACTATCCACGACCACAAGGCACTTTCAAGGCGTCGCATCCGGCCTAGTTAGCTCAATCCCTAGTCCTCTCTAGACTACACTAATACCACAGACCACTAGGCGCCTCTTAGGCGTCCGGGTTTTCATAAACACTTTTGAAAACTTTTTTCCAAAAACAATTTCATTTGTTTAAAACACTTTTTCCCTTTTCTTTCCCGATAAAATGTATGAATTCAACACGCCTAATACAATCATGCCAATGTATATAATTTCCATACTATATAAGGCAACAACCACACACAACAAGCCTTTGGGGAAATCTAAAAAAAATATACAGCATGCTTCCATATTGTAAAAATCTAGTAGTTTACTCATGATAGGCATGTAATGCAACCACTTAAGCATGCTTTTCCATACAACCTCAACTAGCACATACAGTGACATGCTTCATTTACAACAATTAAGTCGTTTTAAAAATCAACACAAATAATCATGCTAGACAACAAATTCATTGAAGAGAAATTCACATAAAGCCTAAGAAGTTATGAATTAGAGACCCCTATCTCAAAGAATGTAAAAAGCCCCAAATTATGCCCAATTTTAAAAAATCCATGGGTTGCCCAAACAAGAGTTTGCTCTGATCAAAACGTAGGTCTCAACGAGCTCTCCAACATTGCCCAAAAAAGTACCATCAAATTCACAAAAATAAATGAGGGATCAAGCCTTGAAAATCATGGCAAAAGAAAAGAAAAAAAAAAAGAAATTAAGGGGAGAAGGAGAGAGTTGTCCAGAGGAAGAGAGATTTGTGGCCAAAATGGCCTTAAGGCCATTAAAAGAAAAGATGGTGGCGGGTCCTTCACATATAAAAATCTTTCAACTTTTATTTTACACCGCATTTCTAAATATACACACTAATTATGTTACAACCACTAACAAGATTTTAAACAATTAATTTATGCACAAATTAATATGCATGATATGCAATAGACCCATGACACAATCCCCGCGCACAACAATTCCGGTGGCGGGTCCTACCCAGGACCTTTCGGCCCGAAAAAGGGAAAAAAGCCGAAATGGTAATCAGTGCATTTCCAAGAGTCCTGAACTCAAGGAAATGTCCCACCCAACTCTCGGACACACCTGACACACTCCACGGTGTCCGGCACGCAAAACGAGAAAAAACAAAAATACTTTCAAAAAATTTAAAAAATCTCAGAAAATAGAAAATGATAAAAAACAGAAACATTACAATCTACCCTCCTTAAAAGATTTCGTCCTTGAAATCTACCCTCCTTAAAGAAGGAGGCCCACCGCCACACATTTTCCAAGAACACCTCACAAAATCCCCAGACTAAAAACTCACCAACATTAATGCCTTTGACACTGGACATCAGCAGGCAACAGAATCACTACTATCACAAAACCAACTGGTATGCTCTACACTATACTCAACTCAAAATGAACATCGTTCCACTCAACACTACCAAGAAGGACTTCAGACAAAGAATCCCCGTCCATTTCACAATCAAGCTCAACTCTACCCTACACATCCTTGACAGGCTAAACACTTGTTATCTAATACGTAGCTACACCGTCACATAACCGTACCGATGACTACTAATCGCACTATACAACAATCATTACACCTAACAACTTTAAGTTGATTAAACAATGAATCTCCCAACGACTGCATAAACATTTATTACCAAATTAGTAAAGCGCACTATCCTGCACCCAAGACACAAATCCTTGAAACAAGATCTTCAACAGTCAATGGTTGTACTATAGCCCTTTATCGGTCACTTGATCCTACCTAACACACCTCGTCACCTGAGACAAGCCTCCCGAATCCACATTGCCACACCGACACAACGCGCAATACCGTGCTCTCATTATTACTAACAAGTCGAAACAATCATTGACCCTTGACCTAACATCGTGCTAAAGAGGGACTGATTCAAGAGAAATAGTTGGCCAGGCCATTCTCATCCTCGATCCGATCTTAGTACATACGCCGGTCTTATTCTCAAGTCCAAACCTCAAACACAGTCTCACACAGTCCATAAAACAACTAAGAGATCCACCCACTATCCATCCATCATTCCACATAGCCTCAAAAACTACACAGTCAAATACCAGCTCTAAGTATCTCAATAACTCCTGAATCATACAGCTCGTAACAAGCTAAAAATAACACAGCACCAAACATCACAATCATTAACCAGTACTAAAGATATTTAATTTCCTCATAACACCTGTACCAGGTAGACAACTTAGAACATTGTTCTATTCAATTCTTTCTTCCTCAAAACACACAATACGATCATCTCATGCCTGAAACCTCAAAACCAAGGTCAATCATCCCCATTATTCCTCAATGGAATCTCACATTCATTCCCTAGCTGCACAGCATTCAAACAATACCAACATCTGTTCTCAAAACACTGCTCAAATCAAACATCAATAAGAACACCCGACTACATGTCTCACATCACATCATCTATTCATCCTCAAGCTTATAATTTACGACACACCCCCAGTCATCACCGATAATACCAAACACCGGAAACACAATCCCTATTTTACAACCCGTGCCTCACATCCCACTGATCAAGACCACTTCCACAACAAACACTATAAAACCAAAGACTCTACCTCCCTCCGTAGAAGTGGGTCGACCTATTTAACTAAGACCTTGGCAATGAACTCCAACCACCTAACAAACCACACACAGGTCCTCCCATCCGCGGACGTGCACCACCCCTAAATGGAGAACAAAACTCCCAACCAACGACGTCCTTGCCAAGGCCAGAACAAACAGAAAAGGGTAACAAACACCACTCTCACCAAAAACTGACAACTCCAACTTAAATGAACCTGACACCCTGTCACACTCTGCTGACCAATCGTCCAACCATGGACACGCAAACTCGCCTAAGATGAAACCAACTCCTTACATACAAGGAGAAGAACTAACTGGATACCCCTACGGAACTACGAACCTAAATCTGGGCGACCTTACCACAAACAAATCGTCAAACACTATCGCACAGAAACCTCGCACACGATACACCGCGACACCCATGCTAACCAAAACCAATTAGGCAAGAGCACCCACACTCACAACACACAAACACTAGAAACAATCACAGCCCTTCGGACACCGCGTCTCGTCCCATCTAGAAACCATCACTCTTAAATGATAACCTCTATACTATAAAATGACATATTTACTACCCATTCTATCTCCACCTTCCTAGACAATACCGCGTCAATCGTCGTGCACACCAGATCCGTGACCTCAGTTACAACAACCCATTGACTAGACAAAAGAAAAAGGTGCATATATAGCAACACCGCTCTCACTGGTTCTAAAGACTAAGCTGACCACCATTACCTCGACTGATACACAACCCCATCTCTTACCTGACAACGCACAACCCCATCTCCTACCTGATAACATACAACAAACAACTCACAATCTCAAATCCATCCTCGGATCATACCTAAAACCATTAAGCTCATCAATACTAAACACCGCACCATAACGCCTCTACCACCATTCTTTCCAAACAACAATTCAAACCTACTGTCTCATCGAACCATCAAGCCACTGCTAAGCGATTCCTCCTCAAACATCCTTAAGATAACACCATCACTACAAGAAAAATAAGCATTACCCTCGATACTCCCCACCACGACCACTTTTTACCACTAAAAAAAAGAAACACCAAACGGCAATGTCATGCTTACAAATCCTCAAAATGAAAATAAGCATAAAATCTAGAATGCTCAACACCCAATTGTCACCTCAAAACCATCAACAATCCAATCAATCACCAATGCTCA